CCACTCCTCCTGATGCCAAGCCTTGGGTCATAATTTCTGACTGTCCAGCATCTTGGGACGTACTCCTAACGTGATAGGCACTATACAAATATAATTTGTTGTTGTTGTTTTACTGACAGTGGAGAGCAGCCAAGATTATGTTGATTCTGTGAATAAAAAAAGTTTCATGACAACTTCTCCATACAATCTAGAGGATCGTATGGAGAATCTCTTGTAAGCAGTTTCTAACTTCTCATAACATATACTTAATTGTGGGGACAAATGAATATTCTATTTTTTAGCTTGAACAGAGACTTTTTTCCAGTCAGCTGGGTGTCAGGCTCCGCCACTGTTAAGTGCGCTGAGACACTACCCTGCGTGAAGGGCACTATATAAGTGCAAGTTGTTTATGTTGTGTCAGGCAGGGTGTTACTCATTTCAATGCTTAAGAATATCTATACAAACTAAAAATATGTATGCCACCTGCATGTCAAAATTCCCCAAGGGCGCAGAGTACTGTGAAATATTTTACTGTGATGAGGCACTATATCAAATGATTATTTGATTGATCTCAGACAGGGAATCAGTAGGGTGTGTCCTAAATTGGTTCAATGCTGAGGCCCAAGGAAACAATGTTTTGGTTGTTCTTTTGTATGTGTACTAATTTATTATGTATATATTATCTATTACACCTTGATCAAACTGAAACAAATATTTAAATAGCTTAAGACCAGGCACCTACAAAGATTTATCTAGATTGTACTGGACAGGAAACAGGTGTTTATATTCCATATGAGGATATATTCGCTCTTTACCCCCTCCCTTATCTTCCTATACCCTTGTCACTCATGTGTATATGTAGCTTCTTCCCCGTAAATACATCTATACCAGCGTTTCTGAAATGAGGTTACAGCAGCCCCCCAGTGTGTGTACTGTGTGAAGCGTAGCGCATCCCAGTACTTGTAGTTTGAGTGGGTGTTGGACCCATTGCTGTGGAGGGGGTGCCTGGACTGCAGCTCTCAGGGAGCGTAATTAGGACGGAAAGGTGGCTGGCTAGGCATGTGCATGCTTTCTCCCTCTCCATCTATCTCTCCTCAAGTGCCGACTGGCTCGCGAAGGGGGGAAGTAACGCAGATTACAAAAAGTCACTCGAATGCCACCAGGTTTCATTAAAAGTCACAGTTTTATGACTTGTCTCAGCAAAGCTTAAAAAATCTCCAACAGACCTAGAAAGTCATTAGCTCTAGCGACAGAATCGTTAAATTGGCAACTCTGTGAACCCCCCACACTGCGTAAGGTGTGCAGCTGTCATTGACCGGCTTTAGCACCAACAAAGTGCCGTGCCATGTCATCGCTTTTAACTGCAAAGCCGATTACAACTGGACCGACAATTCTGGTCCCTTATTCGCTTAGATTGCAATAATCACCTGCAAATTTGATTTAAAGTTTACAGTTGCGGTGCAGCAATGTCATTCTTGTCTATGTCTGTGCATCCCTGATGGTAAGGAAGGGTATAGTAAAGGATTGAGGCCTATCTCAGTGGTTTCACTGGTCATCGCTATGCAGAATTTGTCAGCCAACCTCTTACATTTCTTCCGTATATCAAGAAAGGGAACGTACACTATGGACAAGGCATTTGTTCAAAGACGAATGCAGTTTGGGATGCAGTTGTTAATGGCACTACCCCCTGTATCTACTGAAGTATTCACCTTTTCTTAACACAATTCTCAAATGGTTTTCATTTAATGTGCTGTTCTAATTTTGTTACTGTCTGTGCAAGGCTTTGTGCAAAAAAGTGTTTTTTCAAATGTAGCTTGTACAATGTAAATGTACAAAAATAAATGAAAACCTTTTGAGATGTCTATATTTCCTTTATTTTTCATAGGATCAACTAAGTATTTTTTGGAAAATCTAACACTGCGGCCACCAGTAATTGCTGGTGGGGACACACGGAGCCCACCCAAAATCTGTCTGATAATCACTGATCTCCTATTGGATTCAATCACGGTTTCGGGCAGTAAGTTCCACATCTCACAATTCTGTGTGAAGCAGCTACTCTAAATTCTATCTTAGATCCCCTCATCATTATCTTATACTTCTCATCCCTCTCCCCTCTTCCAAGCCCTCCACCATTTTTTTCAGCCCCTGAGTCCCTCACAAATGCCCTCGCTTCCTCGGACCTCCTCTCGCTCTGGCCCTCCACCCACAGCAATCCTGATGCAGGCATCAAGCTGCTGAATGACTCTCTCCACAACCTTTAATTCCCGGGCTCCCCTGAAATCCAGGGCTGTTTCCAAATCCACCCGCTCCCCCTGACACAACAGTCATCTCCGCTCCCTCAAAACATCCCCGGAAAAGAAATCCGCCAATTGACTAACAACCGGGTACTACTTACTGCCAGGTAAACAGAGGCGTGTGGAGTAAGGAAACTTGGCCAACATTTCACTCTGCCGTGAATGGAACCCAGGTCTCTCACTTGCGAGGCGAGTGCTCTAACCTCTGAACTACAGGACTAAATATCTGGAATATTAACAGTATCAGGTCTTTCGGTTGGATAAGAGAGGTAAGAAATGAAAGAAAGACACATGAAACAAGTGCATACTGAAGCAGCAATTACATGGCCCAATGAAGTAGGTTATTTCCAGCTGTCAAATTCAATTCAACTTCAATTAATACTTACAAAAAACAAAAAAGCAGAACCAAGGCATACAAATCATGCAAAAATATTATTATATAAAGAAATTAGGAAAATTACATCTAAAAATTGTGACCACTTCAAATGGCTGCTCTTAGGGTATTTTAATATGTTAATACCCCATCCTTTAATTTCATCCGTTCTCTCGCCTTCCTTCACGATCTGCCTTAAGATATCTGCCTTCCTCTTTGATCGCATTTTCAGCCATGTTTCTCCTCTCCCCACTTCGGGTGCAAACCTTAAAACGTCCATCTCCTTGGGACATCCTCCTGACGTGAAGAGTGCTATATAAATATAAATTTGTATTATTGTAGAACTTGAGCAAGGTATAATATGTAGATAATAGGTATAATAAATTAGTACATATTCCAAAGAACAGCAAAACAACCAAATCACTGCAAAAGTATTATTAGAATAGCACAAGTAAAAACAAATGTAGGAAAATTACATTTCAAAAATGTGACCACCTCAGGTGGCTGCTCTTGGGCTATTTTAATAATAATTTCTGGAGGCTTTGATCAGGATATAACACAATAGCTAGAGATGCTTAAAGACATGGGTTGGTGTGTTCAACAAACTGAATTGGTTGCAATGTTTCAGTCTATCCAGTGTTTGGGATTTGAGAGTTCAGTCAGGCTTTTTCACTTGCAAAGTGGGGATGGGTACAGTGGTTGGGGGCTGGCAATGAGCACTGGGTTGGGAGGGCAATGAGCACTGGGTTGGGAGGGGGGCAATGCAAGCTGGGTTGGGAGGGGGTGGGCAATGCAAGCTGGGTTGGGAGGGGGCAATGCAAGCTGGGTTGGGAGGGGGTGGCAATGTGATTTGCATTGGGAGGGGGCAATGTGATCTGGGTTGGGGGGCAATGTGAGCTGGGTTGGGGTGGGGGCCAATGTGAGCTGGTTTGGGGGGGCAGTGTGAGCTGGTTGTGGGGGGGGGGCAGTGAGAGCTGGTTGGGGGTGGCAGTGTGAGCTGGTTGGTGTGGGGGCAGTGTGAGCTGGTTGGGGGGGGGGGGGCAGTGTGAGCTGGTGGGGGGGGGGGGGCAGTGTGAGCTGGTTGGGGGGGGGGCAGTGTGAGCTGTTTGGGGGAGATGCAGTGTGAGCTGTTTGGGGGGGGACAGTGTGAGCTGTTTGGGGGGCAGTGAGCTGTTTGGGGGGGCAGTGTGAGCTGTTTGGGGGGGCAGTGTGAGCTGTTTGGGGGGGGCAGTGTGAGCTGGCTTGGGGGGGGCAGTGTGAGCTGGTTGGTGGGGGGGGCAGTGTGAGCTGTTTGGGGGGGGCAGTGTGAGCTGTTTGGGGGGGCAGTGAGCTGTTTGGGGGGCAGTGTGAGCTGTTGGGGGGGCAGTGTGAGCTGTTTGGGGGGGGCAGTGTGAGCTGGCTTGGGGGGGGCAGTGTGAGCTGTTGGGGGGCAGTGTGAGCTGTTTGGGGGGGGCAGTGTGAGGTGGATGTTTTGGGGGGGCAGTGTGAGCTGGTGGGGGGGGGCAGTGTGAGCTGTGGGGGGTGGGGGCAGTGTGAGCTGGTGGGGGGGGCAGTGTGAGCTGGTGGGGGGTCAGTGTGAGCTGGTGGGTGTGTTGGGGGGGCAGTGTGAGCTGGTGGGGGGGGGCTGTGAGTTGTGGGGGGGGGGGCGGTGTGAGCTGGTGGGGGGGGCAGTGTGAGCTGGTGGGGGGTCAGTGTGAGCTGGTGGGTGTGAGGGTGAGTGTGAGCTGGTGGGGGGCGGTGTGAGCTGGTGGGTGTGTTGGGGGGCAGTGTGAGCTGGTGGGGGGGGCAGTGTGAGCTGGTGGGGGGGGGGCAGTGTGAGCTGGTGGGTGTGGGGGGGGCAGTGTGAGCTGGTGGGGGGGGGGCGGTGTGAGTTGGTGGGGGGGGGGGCGGTGTGAGCTGGTGGGGGGGGCAGTGTGAGCTGGTGGGGGGGGCAGTGTGAGGTGGTGGGGGGGGGCAGTGTGAGCTGGTGGGGGGGGCAGTGTGAGCTGGTGGGGGGGGGGCAGTGTGAGTTGGTGGGGGGGGGGGGGGCAGTGTGAGCTGGTGGGGGGGGGGCAGTGTGAGCTGGTGGGGGGGCAGTGTGAGCTGGTGGGGGGGGGCAGTGTGAGCTGGTGGGGGGGGGGCAGTGTGAGCTGGTGGGGGGGGCAGTGTGAGCTGGTGGGGGGGGGGCAGTGTGAGCTGGTGGGGGGGCAGTGTGAGCTGGTGGGGGGGGGCAGTGTGAGCTGGTGGGGGGGCAGTGTGAGCTGGTGGGGGGGGGGCAGTGTGAGCTGGTGGGGGGGGGGCAGTGTGAGCTGGTGGGGGGGGCAGTGTGAGCTGGTGGGGGGGGGGCGGTGTGAGCTGGTGGGGGGGGGGGGCAGTGGCTGCAGTGTGAGCCCTGTGGGCGGGTGTGTGAGGGTGTCGGGTGTTTCCGCGCGCGGTTCGGTTTTGAATTTAAACGCGGACAGTGGGGGTCGGTTTGGCTGTTGAACCGTCTCCTCAGTGTGTGGCCCTGAGGGGGAAAATGGCCGAAGTGTCGGAGCGGACGCTCCAGGTCGCCATCCTCGTCTCGTTCACCTCGGGAGTGCTGGTGGGCTGGGAGGCCAGCAGGCTGAGGAGGAAGTTCCTGGCCTGGAGGCGGAGGCGGCTCCGGGCCCGACTGGCCGACACTCAGAAGAAACTCGACTTGGCTTAGAAGGGAAGGGACGGGAAGCAGCGCGTGATGGCGGGTGAGGCCCTCGGGGACGGGATCCCCACCGGATTCCCAAGAGAAACGCAGAGCTTTCGTTTGGAAGGAATGAGGACTCCCAACTGCCGCCCCGAAGCCCTCTTTTCTCTAACATATATATATATATGTTATATATATATATAAAACCCCTCACACTTAACATGTCCACCAGCCCTGTGCAGGTCAGGAGAACCACAGTGCCTCACATGACTGACTGACTGACTGGAAGTGGAGAAACAGTGTGTGTTTTGTAGGTCAGACCCCACAGCCACAGGTTATTATTCACACACACACACACACACTATATATACAGTGCAGCAACAAAGTGCTTAACAAGTCCATGTTTGTAATGCCACTTTGTTCTTGATCAGCCAGGCGTCTGACACGGGCGGAAACCGATTTGGTGTCTGCATGTCGCCTGCACAATCGATATATAATAATATATTATATATAATATATAATAATATTTAATGGTGTAATCAATATATCTGATATGTAATGTCCTGGAATAGAGTGCGCGCTCTCTCCGCTCACCTCATTCTGCAGAGTATTTGGTCCATGAGACAGGGTTTGGGGGTATACCAGACTTATGTTTCGTTATTTCTGGAGTTTAACGAACTAAAACCGCATAGCTTGCCATTGCGATCACGGTCATTGAGCAATGCTTGTCCAGCTAGGTCCACCCTCCCTGTTAGGCATTTGGGTTGCAGGCTTAATGAGCTGAGTGGAAAAAGTCCTTGCGCGACCCCCCCCCCCCCCCTCCAGTTATTCTATGATTCTGTTGTACAGAATAACTGAAGATATTTTGTCTTCAAAAAAAGATTTTCGTCAATGAACATGGTTTACAACTTTTATTTCAAAACAAAATTAATAATTCTTCCTATTTTGTGCAACTTACCAAATTCCAGTCATTTATTGTTTTGATGTTGCTTTTCATTCTCTAGGACTGTGAGGATACCAAAGAAGCTACAACAACAATTTGCACTTATATGGCGCCCTTCACACAGGATAGCGTCCCAGAGCACTTGGGTAGGTCCCAAGTTGCTATCAATTAATGACATTCATCAAGGGAAGAGCCTGGCTTTACTATATATGAAACAAGGCAAAGGACTGCTCCAGTTTACAACTTGCAACCTTTGTGATGCACAACTACAAAACTCTTGCTGCTCCAGATCCTATGCAGTTCATATGTTCTTCTGTAGAAAATTTATACAGCTTGAATGAAAATGTATGCACTTTGCCAAAACAAATTCTAGTACAAAGATGATGGGAATATTAGGGCAATTCTTAAACTGTAAGTGTATCCCTGAACTCCAGGATTACTGACGTCCTGACCGACTGCCTGTCCGACATCAAGTCCTGGATGTGGGCCAACTTTCTCCAGCTCAACATCAGCAAGACCGAGGCCCTCCTGATTGGCTCGCGCCAGCGCCTCCGCACCTCAGGCATTGGCAGCATCAGCCTCCACAGCTGCATACTCAACCTCACTAAGCCAGTCAGGAACCTGGGTGTCTTGTTTGACCCTGAACTGTCCTTTCTCCCCCACCTCCGTGCCATGACCGGCACTACCTACCGCCACCTCCGCAACATTGGCAGACTCTGCCACTGCCTCACCCCTCAGGCTGCCAAAACCCTCACCCACACATTCGTCACCTCAAGGCTTGATTACGGGAACTCCCTCCTCATCGGACTTCCGAACTCTTCCCTTCACAAGCTGCAGATCATCCAAAACTCTGCAGCTCTTGTACTTTCTCACGTACCAGGCTCCGTGACCCCATTACTCCCACCCTCGCCTGACTATTGGCTCCCCATCCCTCAGAGGATCGAGTTCAAGATCCTCGTCCTCACCTTTAAGGCCATCTATGGCCTTGCCCCCTCCTACCTCTCTGATCTGCTGCTTCCCTACCAACCTGCCTGCTCCCTCAGCTCATCAGGCTCTAGCCTGCTCCATGTCTCCCGCCCGACCCACCCTACCATCGGTGGCCGGGCTTTCAGCCTCTGCCCCCACACTCTGGAACTCCATCCCACGGTCCCTTCGCCTCGCTTCCTCCCTTGCATCTTTCAAGGCTGGACTCAAGACCCTTCTCTTCGACCATGCCTTTGGTCTCCCTCCCACCTCTCTGCCTTCCCTCACCCCTACACCACCCCTCCCCCATGCTCGGGCCCCGACATCTGACTGTTCAGCGCTTTGGGATGTCCTCCCGACGTGAAAGGCGCTCTAAAAATGTAATTTTGTTGTTGTATGTCCCTGGATGAGTCTCATTTTTTTCCTTTTAAACCTGTAGAGTTCACAACAATTTTGCAGCTAAAAAGGATGAATGCAGAGAAGCATTGTTATGGAATTATTTGGAAAAGATAATCAATTTTAAGCTAATTTTTGGATGCAATCTTAAAACATAATTACCTGGAACTCTTCAGGGCTAAATACTTACCACTATATTAAGTTTCCCCTTTAAGCACTGAATGTTTTAGGTGAGCATTGGAAATGTGGCTTCAGATATACTTAGGAAAATTTTGAATTTTGTTTTAAACTTGATATTTTTCCAGTTATGTTATCTCTCCCACAATCTGAAGTATTTTGCGCTGATAATCCAAATTAATTGAATCCTTGCATTTGATATAGCTCCTTATCACATATTTCAAATGCCTCAAAGTGGTTCACAGAATGTTACTATAAAATCACGTGACTGTATTTGTAGACAAATGTGGCAGCCGATTTGCACAAACAAACAGCCATGAAGTGAATGAACAAATGTATCTGGAGTATTGTTAATCAGGAAAATGGTGGAAGCTAAGCCCTATCTGCTTCTCTTGTTGTTTTGAATGGAGACATTGGTGTATTCCTATTACCTATACTAATACAATATCAAAAACTAAAGTTATTGTCTACAGAAATTCTAATCTGGATGCAAGTGTATCCAAGCTGTGGGAAGAAAGTCCATTTGTCTAGATTTACTCAGCATTTTAGAGCATTTGGATTTTGTAGATTCTTAAATCCAACCTTACATTAGAAGCTGATTTTCTGTGAGTTTTTTTAAGAAATACTGAACACCAATTTCAAACTCGAATTCAACAAGTTGCAAAATTTTTGCAAACTCTGAAATGCTATATAAATTAGACCTCGGTGGAACTTCTCCTCACTAATGCTGAATTGAAATGCTAACCCAAGAAGTAGTATGTTTTATTCTATTCTATGTGCTATGATGCTGGCAGATCTTTTGGAGCCTATTGCGTTTGTACCAATTACTATACGATTCTACAGGCAATTGATGTAGCGCTGTATCACTTCGAAATGTCTCGAATTGCTTTACAGACTACTTCCATAAAGTTCAGTAGGCAAACCTGCAGTCAATTTGCACAGCAATTACTATTGAGTACCTTAATACTGGTGGTGGACTGGTGTGAAATTCCACTTTATTTGGAATTCACCACTGTACAAGATGTTATTTGGGCAAATGTAGAACAATGGAGAAAAGAGAAGAAATGGTATATCTCTGAGGTGTTTCTAAATACAGTATGGTCATCTGTCATCATTACTGTATCTTAACTAATAAAGTTGGGTCATTTGTACTTGTACAATTATTTGTTTTTTGCCCCATCAGTATAATTTGTACATCCAATAGATCAAGTAATGCCTTGCCACTTTGTTTTTACAACTAGGAATTACAACTTTCTAATGACTCAAATGAGTGGAAATATGGCAAGCAGTCCCAGAATCATACAATGTTTGGCCCATTGTGCCTATGACAGTGCTAGGCTCCTTCGCTGGCGCTGTCTACTCCTGTAATAACCATCTCATGATTAACCCTTTCAATTGTGAAGTTTAAAAATACTGATCTTTCAAACAAAAGTTTATTTTCTCCTTGGTTTACAGACTTTATTTTCAATGCATGCATTTTCAATTCTTATCTATTTACTGGTCTGAGGTTGGAATTGAAGTCTTGTATTCCAAGAAATGATAAAGAAACCAATGCCATTTGTACGTAACTAACCTGATTGAAAGACTGTACAAGTCTCTCAGGCAACACTTGCAAACTCTGAAATAGTTGGCTTTTTTTTATGTGCGTGAATACAGTAATAGCATTTTAAGATATGGATGGCATGTCAACCCAATTCCAACCTTTTACTTTAAAAAATAAAAAATTTCAGACAAAGACCCTAATGAGTGAAAATAAAGTACAAAGTGTTCAGTAATTTGACATACTTAAGATTAGGTCCATATTGTACTTGATGAACGAAAGCTGACTTCATAGGTGAAAGTGGCAGATGATTTGAGCACAGAAATTTCCCACAAATAGCATAAAGTGAATGACCAATATTTACAAATATAACTCGCTGGCCAGGACCCTGGGAAAACAGTCCGCCTTTCAACTGGCTGTGGGATCTTTATAGATTCACGTGAACAGGCTGGTGGGACCTTGATTTGACATCATCTATAGGACAGCAACTCAACTCTTGTGTTCTCCCAGCACTGCACTGAAGTGTCATGAGCTCAAAGTCCCAATGTGGGACCTTTTGACTCGGGTGCCAGAGCGCCACAAAGTGAGCCAGGCTGGTTCAGGTGGAATTTTCCATTCAAGCCGTGTCATTTTAGAAACTCTGGAGACTACAGACCCGCTGACATGAGTGCAAATGGTAATAATAATCCTTGCGTTCGGCAATAGAGCCTTAAAACGATGACATGCATTCATATAGCGCACTTTGCACGAGGTCGCACCCCGAGGAGCTACGCCTTATCCCCGGACCTACATCTTATTGACTTCGTCAAGATGTTGCAAAGAGTCTCACGGGAATATACCGTTAAGAGGACTGACAGTGCATTGTGTGGACGAATGCGACGCAGCTTTGCACGCGAACAACGTCCCACAAACAGCCGCGGAGCGACTCTGAGCCACCGCCGGGACCTGCTGTCGGTCAGCTCGGTGGGGAGGCGGGGCAGTGCTCGCGCTCTCCCCGCCCTCACTTCCGGTCTGGCGGCTGTGATTGACAGCGCGGGCCGGGGGTGGGGGGGGGGGGTTGCCGTGGTGACGGCGAGGGAGGCCCTGGCAGCCCCGCAGCCTGTCCTGGCGGCTGAGGGCGGGTCACTCGATTCGCTTACGAACTAATGTGTTCCTCACTGGGGGTTTTTTTTTATATATATATATATATATATGTATCTCAACAAAAAAAGAAAATAAACGAAGGAGGCGATGACCTCCAGACGGAGAGGGCCGTTGCAGGCCGTCCAGCTGGTCACTGAGGACTTGAAGACCCAGGTATCACACACCTACCCACCTCTGAGCAGCAGTCAATCCGCTGCACTTACATCATCTCTTCCTTTCACATCTCTCCTTATATTTCTCCTTTCCCGCTGCTTCTGTTGGTCTGTATGGCAGTTGCAATTTATCTCTGATATAAACACGTTTCGATACCCCCCCACACACACACAACCCCACACCCCCACACACAGACACACAACCTCCACTCACACACCCCCCACACACCCCCCCCCACCCCCCCACACACACACAACACACACAACCCACCCCCCCCCACACACACACACAACCTCCACTCACACACCCCCCACACAACACCACAACCCCCCCCACACACACAGACACACAACCCCCCCCCACCCCCACCACACAACACCCCCCCACACACACACAGACACACACAACCCACCCCCCACACACACCCCCCCCCCCACACACACAACCTCCACTCACACACCCCCACACAACCCCCCCACACACACACAGACACACAACCCCCCCCCCCACACACACACCCCCCCCACACACACAGACACACACAACCCCCACACCCCCCAACACACCCCCCCACACACACACACACAACCTCCCCACACACACACACCCCCACACACCACACAACCCCCACAACCCCCCCCCACACACACAGACACACAACCCCCCCCACACACACCACAACCCACCCCTCCCCCCACAACACACAACCTCCACTCACACACCCCACACAACCCCCCCCCACACACACACACAACCCCCCCCCCACACACAGACACACAACCCCCACACACCCCCCCCCCCACACACACACACAACCCCCCACACACCCCACACACCCCCACACACACACACAGCCTCCACTCACACACCCCCACACAACCCCCCCCACACACACACACACAACCTCCACTCACACACCCCACACAACCCCCCCCACACACACAGACACACAACCCCCCCACACACACACCCCCCCCACACACACAGACACACACCCCCCACCCCCCCACACACACACAGACACACAACCCCCCCACCCCCCCCACCACACACAACCTCCACACACCCACACAACCCCCCCCACCACACACAACACCCACCCCCCACACACACACAGACACACCCCCACCCCCCCCACACACACCCACCAACCACTCACACATCCCCACACAACACCCCCCCCCCCCCACACACACACACACACAGACACACAACTTTGGGAGGATGAAAAGTTACGTTTTCAGTTCAGATTTCCAAATGCCAGGCTCGTTTGGAATGCATTTTCAAATGCAGTCTTAATAATAATAATAATCCTTGCATTTGATACATCACTTTTCACGTCTTCTGGACGTCTCAAAGCGCTTCACAGAATATACTGTAAAGTGAATTGACTGTATATTTGTTGACTGTATTTTTGATTCCTGCATGAAAAACATCTTAGTTTGTCATAATCTGGATTGTCATATAAAAAAATGCATCCCAATCTGGAGGGAGGGTGTATGAGTCAATATTGATCAACTAATTTTATATATATCGTGAAGTCCTGTAGCTCTGGTTAGAGCACTTGCCTTGTGAGCGAGAGACCTGGGTTTGATTCCCAGGCAAGGCGAAATGTTGGGTGTACCCTTATTCTATATGCCTCTGTTTACCAAGCAGTAAGTAGGAACCTGGTTGTTAGTCGATTGGTGGATCGCTTTTCCGGGGGTAATAATTCCTTCCAAAAAAAAACTAATAAATTGGTCACTAAATCTTGTTTGTGGGATACTGCTGGCGCAATTGTCTGCTTCGTTTTGCCCACAAAACATACAGTTAATTCACTTTACAGTATATTCTGTGAAGGTCTTTGAGACGTCCCAAAGATGTTATAAGGTGCCCTATCAAATGCAAGGATTATTATTATTTTGTACTCACTATCGTGCACACAAACTATGTTTTCTTTACATTATTTTGGATTTTTTTTCCTGTTAAGGTTGATGTTTTGTTAAAGAAAATCCAAACACCAGGAATTGCTCAGCACCCTACTAGACAACGGGAAGCTTATGAGAGGTGAGGTGCTCATTTCTTGATGAAGCAGTTTTATTGTAACAATTAAAACAAAGTTTGGCTTATTTTGAGTTATATTTGCACTTTTATCTTGCACCAGTGAAAAAAAACAAATGATTTCTACGCTTTAAAAATGTGATGGCATTTCTGTTGCTAAAGCCAGCATACTATTTTAAATACATGCAAAGTTGAATGGGATTTTCTGAAAATATACTTTTTATTTAATCATCTTCTCAATATATGGTTCAGACACTAATTATATTGAATCTTGATGCACTGCAGCCAAAGTATTATTATTCAGATTTTGATGTTAAAGGAAAATATTTAAATAAAGGGATCACATTGGAAAGTTTAAAACAAGTTGTTAGTTAATGTAAATCCAAATATAGTAATTTAATGTGCATCAGTACAAATCAAGTTCATAGTCCCATTTAAAAAAATAGCTTTAACGGTATATTTAAAAGGTTCACACATTATGATAGATACATAATGTGTACATTTGTTTTTTACTCTCTCTGAGGGTAGATAGTGACTCCGTTCTACATAAAGCTTCATAGTTCCCTTGTGAATTAGTGAATTCACTGCCTTGCCCAATAATAATAATAATAAAATAATCCTTGCATTTGGATATAGCGCTTTTCACGTCGGGTGGACGTCCCAAAGCGCTTCACAGAACACACTGTAAAGTGAATTGACTGTATATTTGTGGACGAACGCGGCAGCCAATTGCGCACAGCAATGTTCCACAAACAGTCGTAGATTGAAAATGACCAATTTATTATTGTTTTTGGTTTTTGGAGGGATTATGTCATATGTCAGATGATGAGGCTGTTCTCTAATGGGAGGAGATTTTTCCAGTAAAGGTCACTGATCAGTGACCATAGTGATTAGTGTTTGGCATGAGAACCCCGATTGGCTGGTTCAAACGTATAACATAGATAGTATGCAGAACCAGTGATAGAAATCATTCAATTTAATAATAGCCATTTGGGTTATTTATGTTCTGTATATCACACAGACTTTGGCTTACAGAAGTCATGCACAAAATATTAATTTAACTTTCTTTCATATGCTTTTCTATTTGTGTTGTAAATTAGTGCTGTTATCCCTTCCTCTCTCAGATACATAATATATATTTAGAAAAATCACATATTATGGGGGACAAAAACAGAAGTCGCTGGGAACACTCAGCAGGTCAGGCAGCATCTATGAAGAAATGCGAGTGAGTCAACGTTTCGGGTCCACGACCCTTTGACCTGACGAAGGGTCGTGGACCCAAAACATTGGCTCACTTTCCTTTCTCCATAGATGCTGCCTGACCTGCTGAGTGTTCCCAGCAACTTCTGTTTTTGTTTCAGATTTCCACCATCTGCAGTATTTTGCGTTTTGCTTATACATATTATGGGGGAATTTACAAAAAGAACAAAATATGGAATCATAATTTTGGATCATACTGTGATGCTTGTATTCGTTTTACATAATATTTATTTTTATATATATTTTGGGGTGGTGACTATAGGTGCTTGGAGTTAAAGAATTCGGTGATTGAAAACCTGGAAATTTTACATAATTTGAAGAAAGTAAGTACAATTTACTAAAATCAGTTGGAGATGTAAGTTTTTTTGGTGCCCATAGTAACTCATAAAGCAGCAATAACCACTGTGTAGCTGTCAACAGCAATGTCTAATGTCAATGGCTTATCTCCAGGGGGATTGAAGCAATTGTCTTGGGAGTATTTGTGATGTACAGGGGATTCCATGGAAGAAATGATTCTGTAAAGTATTGTCCCACAAACAGCTGTGAAGAGAATGCCCATTTTTAAAAAAAATCTGGGAGATTGTTGGCCAGGATACTGGGAGAAACTCTCTTTGTTTTTTCGAGTAGTGCCTCCCACCCTCAAGCTCTGGTGCCCAGACAGAATTGTCAAGCGCTTTGGGAATTCCTTCCCATGTGAAAAGAGCTATATAAGTGTGAATTGTGTTGTATTGGCACCTTTAATGTCCACTTGAACAGGTGGAACTCCATCCTAAAAAATTCTTTAAAAAAATAACAAAAATTTGTTCACTCAATCCACACCGTTTGTGGGATGCTGCTGTGGCAAATTGGCTGCTGCGTTTATCCCACAAAATACATAGTCTATTCTGTGAAGCACTTTGAGATGTCTCAAATGTGTGATAAAAGTGCTATATCAAATGCAAGGATTATTATATTATTACACTCCCTTTGCCTCACTCCCTCTCTTGCCTCCTTCAAGGCATGATTCAAGACACTCCTCTTCGACTGCGACTTCGACCGCCCTCCCTGATCCCAGCCCCCCCCAGCCCCCGCTTGGATCCAAATCCCTGGCTGTCCAGCACCTTGGGACATCGTCCTGACGTGAAAGGCTCTATACAAATGTAATTTTGTATTGTATTGTAGAAAGGCCCTTATTTTAACAGGTCATCCAAAGAATGGCACCTCTGATATTGCAGTGCTGGAATGTCAGATTAGACTATGAATTCAAAGTCTTGACATGGGAGTTGAACTCACAACCTTCTACTACACATGCGAGAGCTGAGCCAGGCACACACCCAATTTTCCACTATCTTGCAGGACCTTAATTTTTATGAGAAAAGTATCCTATACGTCAAAATTAGGTGACATTGTGGGCTTCATGTGAAGAGGAAAAGAATGAAGTTTATAAAATCGAATATGTGTAAAAATATACATCTGCAATTAAGCAATCCAGTTCCTTTAAGAAATCAGAGCAAATTATTCATTCTTTAGATTCTCTATGTACTCTGATAAGGTACATGTCTATTATCAGGCAAACGAACCAGCTCCTGTGGGTAATTATGCTCAACGGAAAATGGATGAAGGGAGACAGCTTACCAGCTTGTCCCTTTTACTTGATGAACTTGCAGAAAAATTACAAAGCAGAGGTTTGGAGAATATCTTGGAGAGGTAAGAGGAAGAAATTCACTGTATTCAAGACCCGTATCAAGACCCTCCTCTTAGACCGTGCCTTCGGTTACCCTCCTACCCCTAACTGTCCTCCACCCTCCTGATCCCAACCACTAGCTCGGGTGTGGATCCTTGGGTCTCCAGCGTTTTGGGACGTCCTACTGACGTGAAAGGCGCTATAGAAATGTAATTTGTTGTTGTATTATATCATGATGCTTTGCAGTTACAGCTTGACTAAGTGGTGTGTTCAGACATCAGATTCTGTAATGTACACCCGGACTAGCAGAATGGCACTGAAAATAACCAGTTCCATAACAAAAATAATTCTTCCCATCTCCTCCCCCTCCCTCACCTCTAACTAGTTAGGCCTTGAAACGCAATTTAATTTACGACAACAACTGCCATTTAAATAGTGCATTTGAGAGTGATTTAACTGGATGGAGGTTGGACAGTGAGCAAAGAGTGGGAGGTGGCCATAGGCCTGTTCAAAGAGGTAGGATTTGAGGCTGGACTTAAAGACAGAAAGAGATGGGGTGAGACAGAGGAAGTTCCAGAGACATAGGAATTGAAGGTCTGGCCACTGGTGATGAATTGGAGAGGATGGGAGACGTGCAGCAATCCCAAAAATGTAGAATTTAGCAGAATTCTAACAGTCGTCCAAATTGAGGAAATTTCAGGCAATGATCTGATCAGCTCATTCTGTGACACTCTCTTCCTTCGCTTCCTTCACTTGCTCTCTCGTCTTCTCTCTCTTTCTTCCCGATGAAGCTCCTGGTTTGGAAACTCTTGACGTTAATCTCAGCGGAGAAATGAAGTGAATTTATAATTTTCCACCACTCGCCATGTGGTGATACTGTTGGTTGTGATAAAGATAGCTGTCTGGCCCATTTGATATCCATCCACAACAGCGACCTCACTTTCTTCAATTACAAATTTAAGTTGTTTATTAAATGAGGCCAATATCCTGGACTTAACAACACTGCCTGGTAACCCATTCCAACTGTTCATGACGCTGTGTAAATAATTATTAACTGTCTGTCCTAAAATAATCCTTGACAACTCTGTCCCTTGTCCTGCTGCTTTGCTGTATCTGAAAGTATTGCTCTAAGTTTACTGTATATACCTTATATGACATACCGTCTCAGACACCTCTTTTCAAGGCTTGGCTTATCTCATCATTTCTCATAGCTCATTGTTAACATTACAGATCAGACTCATTATTTTCCTCTGCAGTATCTTTAGGGTCTCATTGACATCATCCACATCACTGATTGCAAACTGGTGCTTGACTTGTAACTGCGATTCAGACCCTGTAGGAACTTACTGCTTTAAATTGTTTTTACCAGGGACAAAAAGGGTCCAATTGCTGCAGCGATTGAGAAAGAAAATGCTGCTTCAAGTGACGACATAGAGGATGAGGATGACAGTGAGGATGAAGAGGAATCTGAAGACGAGCAAGATCCTTCCCTGTTCATTACAATTAGTGACTATGAAGGTCAGCAGGGCTGTGATCTGACATTTAAGGTAAATCTCTGTTTGTACCAGTCACCGGGGAGGGAGCATAGGTTTGTCCCACTTAGTTCCTACTACTCATGCAAGTGAAAGCTCTAACAGGTAGGGTGGCCTAGCTGGAAAAGCAGCGGGAAGCTTGCCAGAGTATTCTCAATGACAGATTTTGCCATTAAAACTTCTGGTTAAACTAGCAGTACCTTATATGGCATCTGATGTCCTCAAGTCTCAAGTTGATGAATGAGACATTAATTAGAGGTCCTGTTTGTCTGTTCAGGTGGATACTAAAGATCCTATCACACTATTCAAATGGAGAAGGGAGTTTTTTCTGTTGGCCAACAATGCTACAGATGTTCGGTCACTCACTTCTGGCTGGTTGTCGGACCTTGTGTGAATATTGGGCGTTATATGTACCTGCAAGACAAATTGAGCCCTTTGAAGCACTTTGAAAGTGTAGGCACTATATCAAAAATGCAAAGATTTTTATAAAATACTATAAAAAAAAGTGTTTAGTACAGTTTTCTAATTATAGAAATGAGTCTCTGTTTGTGGAGTCCTGTGGTTAGAGCACTCGCTTTGCAAGTGAGAGACCTGAGTTCAATTCCAGGCAGAGGGCGAAACCTTGGGCAAGTTTCCTTACTCCACACGGAGCCTAATAATAATCCCTCCAAAACCAATAACAATAATAAATTGGTCATTTTCAATCTACGACTGTTTGTGGGACATTGCTGTGCGCAATTGGCTGCCGCGTTCGCCCACAAATATACAGTCAATTCACTTTACAGTGTGTTCTGTGAAGCGCTTTGGGACGTCCTCCCGACGTGAAAAGCGCTATATCAAATGCAAGGATTATTATTATTATTATTATGATGCAGAAAGGCGAAGTTCTAACAATTCTTCAGCAAAAACCTGATGGCTGGTGGATGGGACAAGATTCTCGGGGAAATAAAGGCTTGGTCCCTAAAACCTATTTACAGGTTAGTACTTTACCAACGAAGGATGATACTGTGAGATAGTTACGATGAAAGTTGAACCATATTGTTGATTATGGAGTTGTATTTTCTGGCGCACATGATAACACATTTTTACAAACTGTCACATTTCGGATCCAGGATGAGAAGCCAATTGGTTTCCACTACCCACTAAACAACTACCGTGAGTGGGTTCAGCCATTTCATTACATCTTGCTAGAATTTCCTTGCCTTTTCTTCACATCTCACATCTTCATATTCAGTAAACGCTGTCGAGCACAGGGTGAAATAAAGTAAATTGATTAGATCTTGGTTTAATGTTTCTTTAACTTTTGTGAGATTCTGTAACAATTTGCAGTGCTGCAAATCAACCTTTATCTATAGGAGGTTTGCTTGAATCGTTCTTCATTTCAAACGTTACTTGCAATTCCATTTGTCTATTCTTGCAGGTATATAAAAAGGACAAGGCTGTATTGTCAACTGCAGCTGGTGAGGAAGAGGAAGATGGAGAGGAAGATGGAGAGGAAGATGGAGAGGAAGAGGAAGAGGAAGAGGAAGATGAAGAGGAAGATGACGAGGAAGAGGAAGAGGAAGAAGATACTGACATAGATGAAACTGGAAGAGAAGGGCCTAAAGCACAAGGGTATCATGCTGTTACAAGATCATTAATTTCTCTGCTTTCTAAACAAAGGGTAAAGGTTAGGAGTCATATCCTTATATTTGGAAGTGAGTAGATTCATGTTTACAGTATTGTACAGGGCGAAACCTTAGGGACGTTTTCTTACTTCATACGCCTCTGATTACATTGCAGCATGTAAGAACCGGCTTGTGAGCCTCTCCTATCCTCACCTCAAATGCCAACTGTGAGGCGATGCTGGACTTCCTTGAATCCAAAGTCCAGGGAGTCTGCTCAGCTGCCTCTGCCACTGCATCTGCTTCCCCTTGTACCTCTCACAACACCTGCGCTTCATCTCCACAAACGGCTTCTCCTCTAGCCTCCGGACCGTCTTGTGTGATGTTCCTCAGGGCTCTGTCCTTGGTCCCCTCCACTTCAATATCCATATGCTCCTCAGTGACATCATCCGCAGACATGGGGTCAACTTCCACATGTATGCGGATGACGCCCAACTCTCTCTTTCTGCCTCCACCCTTGACTCCAGGACCACTGCTGTCTTGACAGAATGTCTGTGAGACATCAAGTCCTAGATGAGAGCTAACTTTCTTCAGTTCAACATCAACAAGACCGAGGCTCTCGTAATTGGCTGCCGTCAGCGCCTCCTCACCTCAGGCGCTGACAGCATCACCATCCGTGGATGCGCACTCCACCTTACTAAGCCAGTCTGAAACCTTGGCATCTTGTTTGACCCTCAACTATCCTTTCTACCCCACATCTGTGTCATGACCCACTCTACCTTCCCCCACCTCCACCTTCTGCCACTCTGCCCCCACCCTCTGGAACTCCATCCCGCAGTCCTTGTGCCTCGCCTCCTCCTTTGCCACCTTCACGACCCATCTCAAGACCCTCCTCTTTGACCGTGCTTTCGATCTCCCTGCTTCTCCCTCTACCCTCCACCTTCCCCCACCCTGACCCCCAGCTTGGTTTCGTAACTCTCTGTCCAGCACCTTGGGACGTCCTCCCGACGTGAAAGGCGCTTTACAAATGTAATTTTATTGTTGTTATTAGTCGATTGGCAGATTACTTTAGTGGGGAGTAATCTCTTCTAAAATAAAATTAAATAATAATTTTATCTCTCAATCCACGGCTGTTTGTGGCACACTGGCTGCTGTGTTTCACACACAAAATACGCAGTCAATTCACTTTACAGTATATTCTATGAAGCGCTTTGAGACGTCTCAAAGATGTGATCGGGTAACATATCAAATGCAAGGATTATTATTGTTGAGAAATTTGCACAAAAAAGCAAACCAGATTTGGAAAGTGAGAAAGGTGAAGCAGTCCGGTGTTATTTGTTCCACAAATGCCAATTCAATCTTGTTGCCAAATATAAGTTTATCTATTTGAAAGTGATATCTGTGTTCAGCAAGTTGAGGGTTGTCAATGGCAGGGAATGGAATATTTTCATCATCAAGTGTTTCATACCGTTTCAACTAAACACCTTTTGTTTCATCTCAGAAGACCTCTGTCTACTTTGTTCTATTTTAAATGTTGCTCAATTTAGCAGCAGGATTCTTCCTTTTTACCCTATTTTCACGTAGAATTGAATTATTGTTACCATTAGATTAGAAAATCACACAAGACACTGTCCTTTTAAGAGAATCATACCCTAAATGTTGAGGCGATCTTTTCCCCCTCCAATATAAAACATTGTGTTCAGTGCTACCGCTGCACTGCTGATTCTTTTTATCTGGTCATTGGCAGCAAATAGAAAAAAAAACACTGTTGCTTTTTTAATTTAAAATTAGTTGAATAACCGCTTAAATCCTCTTACAATCTCAGGGTACGTTGAGTGGTCTTTTTCACGTTTTGTTCAGTTTGTTTTGCAGCATCAGTCTGCAAAGTTCCTGCTATTTTAAGTGCATTGGTCTTCCACAGCCTGAACCAATTGCGTTGAGTTTATGTCTGCCCCTACACTGAACAGACCGATGGTGGGTGCCAGCTCCTGGCTTTAACATCATTGTTGAGTGATCTGCGTCGTTCTCAGGAGCCATCTACAAGACTGCCTGTCTATTGTGTCTTTCATCAGTACACACCTTTCTGAAGTGTGAAGTTCATGTGTCTAAAATCTGAACAAAGGCTCACTCTGTACTGGGTCATTGGCTCAACGGCAATCATAAAGTTGGGCTAAGTAGAGATTTCTGAAACCAACTCAGCAAAAAACTAACCCCGTTCATTCTGCCATACCTTGGTCAGATAGAGAGTAGAAAGTGGGCAAATAATGTTCACATGATTAACTTCATAATGATATATCACTCAAGCCAGTTTTGCATTTGTGTAAGAGGTGAAAAATTGCAGTTCTGATAAGAGCAGGAAGTCCATGAATTATTTAGATTATGAATTGTACATTGGAGACGTGCAAGTAAAACTGCATCTGCTGAGAATTTCACCTGAAGTGAAAGATAGGATGAATTATTTCTGTCTTATCTTGGCAGCCAGTGATTACAACCTGTTCAATCGTCTAGTACGCAGCACTACCCTACCTGTTTATAGTATAGAATTCAAAGGCATGAGGCGGTGATTAGCAGATTTTACCTTAATGGTGCCATCCGTTAAATCAAACAGCTTCAGTTACTGAATGTCGCTGTATCCACCTGAAGTGATCAAAAGCAGTGTCCAGGTTAATCTAGCTAGTCACAAGGGTCGGATTTGTGAACAGTTCTAGGGACACAGGATTTCTCTGTGTTCACTGCTTCATGTTAGATGTCCATATTGACTAATTTACCACTAATTGTTTCTACAGTAAAAGCTCGTCCCAGGCTGCTGTCAATAAAGTTGCTTTGGAGGTGAGCACTTTTTACTTTCAGTTGTTTCAGTCTCTTGCTTGCATCAAGCACTGTTCCCTTGCTTGGAGGACAAGGAGATAAACCCTTCTAAAGCCTCTTCAACTAGTCATTAGCAGGTCCCTTGCTTTCTCCCTCCCTGTCTGCAAGAAGCGTACACTACTCAGCAGTGCAACTGAGGTTGAGAAGTTGCCATGTACCAAATTGTGGACAAGAACCCCTAGCCTGCTGATGGTGCCACTAAGTTTAAGCGCTCTTGAGATGCCGTCTAGCATGGAGGGCTCCATACAAATCCAAGTTGTTGTTGCTGTAAGTCTGCCATTTCAAAACTGTTTATTTTTGTCATTATGGTTACCATGCTTATGGTACCATTGTGATAAAGTAAATGATGGGCTACTGTTTTTTCCATGTTCATCGGCCTTCCCATCTCTTCCCTCCACAAACTGCAGATTATTCAGAACTCTGCAGCTTGTATGTTCTCTCCCACATCAAGCTTCATGACCCTATCGCCCCCCTCCCCCACTTCAGCCGATTCCATTGCTGGGCTGGGAGAGTGTTACATTTCTGGAGGTGCCATCCTTCAAATGAGACATAAAACCAAAGTTCTGTCTGCCTGTTCAGTTAAATTTCTCATGGCACTATTTGAACAGAAAAGGGAGTTTCTCTCGTTGTCTTGACCAACGATCCCCCAAATAAAGTTGCTCATTCACTTCATGGCTGTTTATGGGACACCGCTGTGTGCAAATTGATTTCTGTGTTTGCCCACAAAATACATAGTTATGGTACAGTAAATCCTGTGAAGTGCTTTGAGGTGTCTTGACAACACAAGATGCATAATGGAGCGTTATTTATTATTTATTTACTTGGGTGTCTGTCAACTCCACTTTGCAAATGGCCTCCAAGAGAGTGATGGTTCAGTGTTTCAGAGCCACATGTGTGCAACAATTGTGTGTTTAATGTGGTTCAGACAAGCATTGTGTGATTTGGGGGGAAAATTGTTTTTGCATAAGTAGTTGGTTGCATTTTCGTCTGCTAATAACATTGGCAATATTCTTCTTGTTTTCTATATTCGATATTTCTAAAATTTGGCATTTATTTCACCATGATCCTCTGGGTGGTCCTTTGATTTTTTTAAAAAAAATTCTCTGGCACGATCCTAAACTGTAGCTCCTGATTTAGCTAGAGTGACAGCTTTTAAAACTGCCGTGATACAAATATTTAAGGTAGTTGTGTTGAAATATGCAGTACTCTAAACTCTGAAATGCAATTGGGACTCTTGAGAAGAATTACATAAGGTATCAGGTGCTCACAGTCTCTATGCAAGCATTATGTGTTATTTATTTACTGTATTTACGATGTCTGTTAACTCCACTTTTCAAATGGCCTCCAAGAACTAAATGTCAATAAGACCAAAGCTTTCCTGCTTGGCTCCCATGAAGAGCTTTCTCACCTCAGGTGCTGACGGCATTGCTCATTCCACCTCAAGACACCTCAAAGCACTTTACAGTGTTTGCTGTATAGTAACTATGTTGAATAATGTAGGAATTAGTCCTGTGCTTACATCAGTTTCTGTCTTGCTGGACTATATTGAATTGAATAGTTTTTTTTAATGTAAAATTCTTTGCTTAATCCTCAGGTTAGTGCCACAGACGTACTAACATCAATGGGAACCATTCCCAAAGGATTCAGGCCATCTACTCTTGCATCGCTGTTGGAAGAAGGTACAGGAGACTTCAGTGTGATCAGCCACAATGCAGTGAGATTGGTTGTTAATCATTTATACATATCTGTCATTTAGATGAGATGTTAACTAATCTGCCTGTTCAGGGGGATATTAAAATCCCATGGCACCATTCGAAAAGAGAAGGCAGTTTCTCCCCTGTTCTGGTCAATAATCCCTTAGATAAAATTGGTTGTTCAGTTCATAACTGTTTGTAGGACTAATGGTTGCCACGCACACCTACAAAATATATAATTACTACAACAACAACAATAAAATTACATTTATAGAGTGCCTTTCATGTCGGGAGGGCGTCCGAAAGCGCTGAACAGTCAGGTGACGGGGCCCGAGCATGGGGGAGGGGTGGTGTAGGGGTGAGGGAAGGCAGAGAGGTGGGAGGGAGAGCAAAGGCACGGTTGAAGAGAAGGGTCTTGAGACCGGCCTTGAAGGAGGCAAGGGAGGAAGCGATGCAAAGGGACCATGGGTTGGAGTTCCAGAGCAGAGAGACTGAAAGTCCGGCCACCGATGGTAGGGCGGGTCATTCGGGAGACATGGAGCAGACTGGAGCCTGATGAGCGGAGGGAGCGGGCAGTTTGGTAGGGAGTCAGCAGGTCAGAGAGGTAGGAGAGGGCAAGGCCATGGATGGCCTTGAAAGTGAGGATGGGGATCTTGAATACTACAATTTACAGTAAATCTTATGAAGTGTTTTGAGATGTTTAACAATGTGATAATTACTGGGGGCTGGCAGTTTTCATTTTTTCAGTTTGCATTGGGTTTCAATAGGCTGGCATAAAGGCATATTAAGGGAGAGATTTGAAGGAGGTTCTGTATCAGGTCTGAAGCGGTGCAGAATTCATTGCAGACATGGTTTGATTTCCAGGCTTTGAGATAGGCACATATTCAGGATTAGGCTCTAGCTGGCCTCAGATTGGCACAGATAGATAGATGTTCTTCACCAGCTTTACTTGTACATGTGCATTCTCACTGGTCACATTCTGCCTTCCGAAGGCATGAGCACTTTTAACATTCTTTGAGCACAAAAAATAAGATTTAATAATTTAACTTAAAACAAAAAAAAGGAACTTGCATTTTTATTACTGCCTTTTTGTGTTGAAATCTCAAAACACTTCACAGCTAATTATTGAAGATATTGACTGTTTTTTTCAACCCATTAATGTCTCTCCATAAGCCAATGGACTTGCCAACAAAGTCTCACAAACAATGATGAGATAAATAAGCAGTTAGGATTCTTGTCCATGACACTGGGAGAAACTTCATTCTCTTTTCAAGCAATATATATCCACAAAATATACAGTCAGTTCACTTTACAGTACTGTGAAGTGCTTTGAGATGTCTCGAAGATTTGATAAGGCGCTATATCAAATGCAAGGATTATTATTAATATCGTGGGATTTTTAAAGTCCACCTAAACAGGTGGATGGGACCTCGGTTTAGTATCTCGCTGAAAGGTGGCAGCACCAACAATAAAGCATTCCCCTAGTATTGTACTAAATTGTCAGCTGAGACTCATCTCAAGTCCAACATAGGATGTGAACCTTGTGACCCAGAGGACGTGTGGTACTATCTGTCGAGTTGACTTTCCAGTTCCCTGATTTGGATCCACCCCAGTTGTAAGACTGAGCCAGGTGTCTTAAGGCATAGTTTCAACCTCCCAAGTAATGCTGTAGTTCAGGTCTAATTTGTTTGCCAGTCATCCCTAATCTTTTTGAGATAATTGTACACAAAGCCATTGTTTTTGTTTTACACAGGAAACAAATTTCACCTGAATTCCTTTATGCAACCTGTATTAAGTGAGTCCAACTTAGCTTTTAAAGACCTGCACTGGGACCTTGACAATGATGGTGTGAGTATGTCAGTACTCAATACAATTACCCTCATCAGAACATTTAATTTTAACAGTGAGTTAATGTCTATCAGCTGAGTGCTATTAACAGTTATATTGTGTTATATATTAAGTCCCTGTTTGAAATTGGGCCATTTTCTGTTTTTTTCAACCCATTAATGTCTCTCCATCTGCAAGCTCAATGTCTCTACCACTTTTGATACCATTGACTAACTCCATCCTGCTCCATTGTCTCCTCTCCTTCTGCCTCCATGATTCTGTCCTGGTTTCACTCTTGTATCTCAGCATCTTCATTTTGTGTCTCCCTATGACCTCAACCTCCCAGCCCTCGTAGACACATGGAGCATTCTTCAGAACTCTATCCATGGTTTTCTTTTTTTCACAATCTGTATTTTCCCACTGGTGACATCGTCTTCAGATATGCAGTCCACTCCACATGCATACCAATGACATCCAACTCTATCTCTGCTTCTACCATTGATTCCAGCTCTAACTTTCTTCAGCTTAATGTCAATAGAAAGGAGACCTTAAGAAGGGAGAGCTCCTCTAAAATTGCCAATCTTGACGAGCAGATAAGATTTACAATACAATTTACATTTATATATAGCATCTTTCACATCAGGAGGATGCATCAAAGCTCTTTAGATACAAATGCCAAACGTCTTTGTTCCCCGCGAGGGAGTTTACCTAATTTCTGTCTGTTTGCAGGTCCGACCTAGTCAGGTGCGTGTATCACTCTTGTTTACGTTGTGGAACTGTAGAATGATTCCTGTACCTGGGTCTGGTCTTCAGGTGCTGAGCAGACATGTTCGATTCTGCCTTTTTGATTTTAAAAAGGTAAGTCTTCTGCTGGTTGGACAAACACTTGTGAAGAAACAGAGTTCAAAATAATATTTGCTTTTTTTAAAATAAAACTAACCCTATCCTGTTACAATAATATAATGAGATAGCAACAGATAAGATAATGATAATAATCTTTGCATTTGATATAGCGCTTTTCACGTCTTCTAGACGTCTCAAAGTGCTTCACAGAATAGACTGTAAAGTGAATTGACTGTATATTTGTGGACGAAATGCAGCAGCCAATTGCGCACAGCAGTGTCCCACAAACAGTCGTGGATTGAAATGACCAATTTATTATTTTTTTTTGAGGGATTATTATCAGGCATGTGGAGTAAGGAAACTTGCCCAAGGTTTCACCCTGCCGGGAATCAAACCCAAGTCTCGCTTGCAAAGCGAGTGCTCTAACCACTGAGCTACAGGATTCCACAGATACATGGATTGAAGTTTTCGTTTTGCACTCTTAGTATTTATCACCTTAATTATTTTTTCAGGTTCTCAGCAACATTCATACAATTAGAGCAACCTGGCAATCAAAGAGCCCCAAGACATGGACTTTCTCTCCAAGAGTAAGTTTACTGTTCTCCAGCTTAGATTCAGTAGATGCACAAGCCAGAATACTTTGAAGGAAATTGGTACTCATTTCTCTTTAGTAGCTGTCTGTGAAACCATTGATAATGTCTTGTATGTAGTTGGGACCTCTTGGGATGTCCTCAGTGCCTAGGGACGTACTCCTGACGTGAAAGGCACTAAGGTAATTTGTTGTTGTTGTAGTTCCTTCAATGACTTTTAAGACAGCAACAAATGTGCAGTACTAAATCCTTATTCTAGATGAGGGAGGTCACAAGTTTAAAACAGGTTTCTGTTGAATTAGCTGAACTCAGTTAAGGTAGCAGAGGCAGATCCAATTAGCCTAAAGATCCCAGCATTAGGAAGGGGAAAACCAGCCAGGTTCTCACCCTTGATATCTATCCATAGACCTGTGCTAAAATGTGTGGGGAGATATGTGGATGTTTGGTGAGGACAGAATTGGACTGCGCTGTTAACACTTGCTCTCAAGAATGACAATTTGGGCCGGGTAGTAGATTGTGCCTATGGGATCGTGACACCAATAGGAAAAAAAAAGAGTCAGAAATGCCTGCAGCCTGCTCTCTCCACACCACCTCGATGGGTGAGCTTCAGATCCAATGCCAAAACTGAAATTTCGGGTGGCATTTTTTAGTCTTTAGTGATGTCGGCTGCTAATGGGATTCCCCCATTATAATCACCAAAGCTGCCACGTATAATATCAACTAGAATTTCACTCCAGTGATGTGTGAGGTTTACATAAATCCTATTGACTTGTGTCCACGTTATTTCCCCTGTTGAGTTAGTTAGTATGTGGTGAAAGCGACGAATAACATACAAAGTCCTTCTGATTTTCTTTTTAATTTGAGAATGAGAATTTGGGAATTTATTTGTAGAATAAGAATTGTCAATCTTGTATTTGTTTCTTCACGGCTCTTTTGTACCTCTCGAGTGCCTCAAAATGTCTAAAATCCCAAACAAGTCCGATTTCCAAAGATAAATTCTGTTGCTAAATAACTTTCTGTATATTGTGGCATGACGTCACAAAATCTGTCTTATTGTGAAAGGTATGGTACAGATAATGCCTACGTTTTCTTTTTCCAGCAATATGACTGTTGATCTAAACCTGTGACAATAGTGGTTTCAAAAAAATATATTTTCATTTATCATTTTTGGATTGTTGCAGGTTACAGGAATACTTCCAAGCCTGCTGGATGGTGATTGCTTTATTAGATCAAATTCTCAGTTTCCAAACATCGGAATTCTGTTTGAGCTTGGGATTACCTATGTCCGTAATGTAAGTGTCTTTTCCTACCTTTTACCAACTGTTAGCAATTTCAGGACAACGCTGGATGACAGATACTACAACATTTTAGAGGATTTGCTCAGATCCTACAGCATTAGGATTGCTGACTTCAATGAAATGTTTATTCATTTTGAAATTCTGCGATTGAAGTACAACAAAGACTATTTTAAAGGGAAGAAATTGCTAGTGAATTGATGTAAATGTTAAATAGGCAACTAGTCTCAATTTTCACGCCAGATATCTCCTAATTCAATTTTAAGACCAAATGGACTCTGGAGTCCACTGTCAGTGAGAAGATCCGTAATGGCATCAACTCACCAGTTGCTCTTGAATGTTAGCCTTGAAGCTGTAGGTCACCTATGGACCTGTATGAATTAATTTAAAACGTAAATATCTACAAAGCTTTAACTGTATCTATTAGCAAGATCAGGAGAGCACTGTACATTGAAATTACTTCCCTATACACTTACCTGCAATGTATACATATTTTTGCCTGGCTCGGTTGACAGGACTCATCGCTGCATCAGGAGATTGTAGGGGGTCAAGACCTGAACCCTAGTCCTAGGCATCCTGTGCAGTGCAGTACTGGAGAGTGCTGCATTGTAAGAGTTACTGTTTCTTGGGTGAGAGAAACAATGACACAATTCAAAAAGAGAAGGCATGTTAAACAAACCTCGATTTTAATTTCATACGGAATATGAGGTCAGTAACAATCATAAAATTGTAAAATATATACTGCAGTAGGAACATATTTGTCCCATTGAGCCTATATTGGTGCTAGCTCCTGCAGGGGAGCTAACTACAGTATTCTAATCGCAATTCCCTGCTGTACAGAATCACAGTAAAGGGTTTTGATTTAATGAGAGTGCTTAGATTGTGCTTCAATTGAGCATTAAAACAGTGATTCATTGGTCAGAGTAGATTATCCACAATGGCTTAACTAACAAGAGTTCAATGCTAATTATTGCTAAGATTCAAAATAGAAAGTAACATCTCCAGTGGAGCTGAACAACATGCCACGCAAGTCACCGTGGGGGTGAAATTGCTTTTGATGTTGACTGTCAAATACCCCATTATCATCAAAGTCAGATGGCGAAAAGCATCTGCAGAAAAATCCTTCAATGAGTTTTCACCAGCATTTCTGATTTATCACAGTAGCCTGACAGCATGCTGACATTGAAGCCAATAACCGTGGTAGTTTTATAGACTTAATTTTATAAGTATTTGTTTTTCGGTCGTAATACTAGATGAGATTGCAATGAGACCATATGATGTACATTTTAGGAAGTGCTCACACAACAATGAAGGCCATTTGAGGCAGCTGTTCCATGTATAAAGAAACGTGAAAATATTCACAGAGTACAGTCTGTTGTGATTGCATATGACTATTTCTATCTATTTTGTTGAAAGTTTTTGATGCATTCACTGCGATGGTGATTTTCTCATTTAAACTGTTTCCGTAACCTAATATGAAACAGTGGAGAAAAATCTTCAGAGCCTCGTCTCTGGAGGCTGGTGATTGATATTACTTTTCCTGAAAGAGGGATGGGGGAGTGCTGGTGAGCAGAATACTTAGCTTCACAGTGTCATGTCCTGCATTTTTTTGATTGTAACTGTTGTTTCCATGTCCTAGTTGACTGGACACCAAGGGGAGTTGAGCTGTGGCTGGGCTTTCCTATCGCTGTTTGATGTTAATGGAATTGCTGTCCCCAACAGGTAATTGTGTGCTCTGTAAAGGAAATCCTGCATGAATACAAGCCTACGTTTGTTTTTATGCAATCTCTATAATTTTTATACTTTTATCAAAGCTTTAAATACATGCTGACATTTTTGTAGTGCAGTTTGAGTCCATAGAATAAAACATGCTTAAAATAAAGGGTGCCGGTCAGCACTTCCAGGTCGTTACGTTGCTGCTAATGTCACTTGCTATGTGTGGGCGCTCTGCACAGGAGTGGGCCAGTCAGTATCAGAAGTGTAATTTGCTGTGGTTTAGCTGGGATCCACTACACCGTCTCTATAACAGAATAGATTTTCTCCTGAGGGCCTGCCAACAATCTTCCTAGATAAATTCACTTCATGATGGGTTGTGGCACTTTGCTGACTGTTTTTATAGGAGGTATTTACCTATAAAAACAGTCACTACACGTGATAGTCATTACTTTTTAAGTACTTTGAGACATTTTGAGATGATAAGGCATTATAAATATGAAAAAAACCTTGCTCTCTTGCTTGCATGCATTCCTGTTGTCCACTTTGGTTTGCTCACCATTGTACCCATTTAAATGTGGCTGAGTGTAAGCTGGTGAGCATTAAGGGTGCTGTCTGAGCGTTCCAGTAACTGCAGTGGGAGCTGTTAACCATTCCAGAAAAGGGAAAAGGCAGGTGCAACAAAGAGGCCAGCAACCAAAATAATAATAAAATAATCCTTACGTTTAATATAGCGTCTTTCACGTCTCACAGGATATACTTGTAAAGTGGAATGACTATTTTTGGGTGGGCAAAAATATACTTGTCTTTTTAAAGTATATGCATAATTACCTTTTTGAAATTTTTTATGGCAAGTTAATTCTAGAGTAAAGATGTTGCCAAGTCTTATCCTGGAGCATTTACTCAATGTAACTTAGCACTGGAATAATGTTTCTCTACCAACATGCTGTGCTGTAAATTCTCATTGTTTTTGCACTATGCTGCATTTATAATATCTGCAGACAGGTGGCATTATGTCTCTTTGGCAGTCTTGATTATGCTACAAGACCTGCTTTAGGAGTTGATGCTATCCTATGTAATTGAATCCAACTGAAATTATTTCTAGAGTGGGATGGGCTCTCTCTCACTAATTGTTTGATTTTTTCATGCAGCACAAAACCTGCATTGGTTTTTTTTGTGTAGTTGGTGGTGGGTGGTGGTCGATGGTGGGGCGATCCAGGCGGGTTACATTAGAGCAGGCTGGAGCTAATTTAATGCAAAAGTGTTTTAGTCTTTTCCACTATAATTTAAGCACAGACCTGCCTAGAAGTTATTGTGAGACAGTTATTCCGATCCAGCAGGTTAGTCCCCCCGTATTTTGGCTGGTAGCATTGTCACCTCTGAGTGAGAAGATTGTGGGTTCCAACCCCATGTTGGGCTTTGACTTCATAGTCTAGGCTGACACTCCAATGTAGTGCTAGTGTAGTTTTGCATTGTCAGAGATGCCATCCTTCAAAAAGAAGTTAAGCCAAGGTCCCGTCTGCTTATTCAGGTGAAATAATCCATGGCAGTATTCAAAAAGAAAAGGGAGTTTCTCTCGGTGTCTTGACAAACAATCCTTCAGATGAAAAAGTAGTAATTCACTACATGACACTTAAGTGCACAAATTGGCTGCCTAGAAATACACAGTCACTGCACAGCAGATCCTGTGAAGCACTTTGAGATATTTTGAGAACATGAAAAGGCACTACATTGAATGTAAGGATTATTATTATTTTTAAGATATGACCTGTACACTACATTTCTCTGTATTTTTGTATAGTTTTTAACTTCATACAGAGGATTTAGCCTGTTGTGATGACTCGTGCTGGACACTCACCAGTGGCCTGCATGCAGTTATTGTTCCATGACCTGGCCAATGAGTGGAGACTAGAAGAACTATGACCTTTTCTATTGGAATAAAGAAGGTTGAGGGGTGATCTGATTGAGGTCTTTAAAATTATGATGGGTTTTGGTAGTGAATAGGGAGACATTATTTCCACTGGTCGCGAGTCTGTAACTAGAGGGCATCGACTTAAGATAGTGAGTAACCAAGCAAATGGGTAGGTCAGGAGAAAGTTTTTTCACAGACAGATATGGAATGCCCTGCCAGGAGTGGTAGTTGAGTCAACATCCGTATTGGGCTTTAAAAGGGAACTAGACAAATACCTTAAGTATCATCTATAGGGGTACGGAGTAAGGGAAGGTAAATGGGATGAAAGGATTGAGGTTCTATGATTTTCTTGCCAGATTGACAGTTCATCGAGGAATAATTTAGCTTTGATTGTCTTTGTGTGATTGAGATATATAGATAGTGATGCTCGTTTCTCATTTCATATTTTACACAATTATTGTAGGACCTATGAAGTTGCTATACATGGTGGAACACCTTATGAGAAAGACATAGAAGTGGATCCAACATTTTCTAGAAGGGGTAAGCTCTATTTTATTGTTTACTTTTGTGCCATTATCAAGTCATATTTGTGGAGTGGTTACATAGCAAATGAAGGGCTGGAAAAAAACATTGAAGTCCATTTACATGGGGCAAAACAAATCGTTTACTACTCCTTTCTTCAAATCATCACTTTGTCAGATGGCTACCTAATTCTCTTCTGTATTTGCTCCTACAATCTGCCTCCACCATCTCTCTGTTTAATCAATTATGTTTATTTACCACTCTGTACAGTTTAATGTCTTTTCACCTCAACTCCTCTGCACCCATTCTATGGCCTTCAAATCCTTCCTATAGTGAGGTGGCTGAAATGGACACAATTCCCCAACTGCAGCCAAAGTAATGATTTATACAGGTTTACGATTAATCCCTTTGCTTTAATATTCTATGCTATTATTCATAAAACCTAGAATTTCATTACTTTCTTTGCAACTTTATCCCCTTGTCTGCCTATCTTTAAAGATTTGTGTATACAGTGCAGCTTTGCTCGACTAAGCTGCATTTGTTTAATTTGGATCGATTGATCCAGATTTAACTACGCATGCACACAATCCACTATTCTATTCTATATAAAAAAAGTGTGATAAAGTTGCCTGAGTAATGAATTTTCCTGAATACTGAGGCGTCTAAAGATGAAGTTCAACTGTATTTAATAATCATTGAACCATCCTAGTTTATATCTTTTTTGCTTTAGCCTCTCTTTTAGGGCAGTTGGTAATGGCCAGGAAGCAGCCCAAGCTACTGGTGAAACTGATGTCACCAGCCAGTAATTTGAGAAATACATTAAAGTAAGTATTTGTGTATACTATTAAAATGGGTGCTCATCTGATTGCAATGTAACTTTTGTCTGTAAATTTAACATCTTTAACTTGGTGTGAAAACCTCAGTGTTTAGCTTTAATAATAGTAATAATCCTTGCATTTGATATAGCGTTTTATCACGTTGTTGAGACGTCTCAAAACACTTCACAGAATTTATTCAGGCATTAGTTTGTAAGGTAAATACCTTAGACAAGGTGGGGCCCCATCTTCAACAATGAGAATGAAGGAGCGACTGACTCTCAACTGTTTACTGTCAAGCTCCAAAGTTAAGCTAATCTGGATCATGACCAAATAAATAGTAATAATAATTTTGCATTTGATATAGCGCCTTATCATGACTTCAAAGCGCTTCACAGAATATACTGTAAAGTGAATTGACTGTATTTTGTGGGCGAAACACAGCAGCCAATTGCGTACAGCAGTGTCCCACAAACATTTGTGGATTAAGTGACCCAATCTTTTTTGAGTGGATTAATTGGATTAAGCGATCCGCTAATTGACTAACAATCAAAGTCTTATTTATTTACTGCTAGATAAACAGAGGAGTGTGGATAAAGGAAACTTGCATAAGGTTTCGCCCTGCCTGGGAATTGAACCGGTTCCTCTCGCTTGTGAGGCAAATGCGCTAACCACTCCAATAATAAATATAATATGCCCCTTACCCTGGATTGTTGGTCTCAACTGTGTTGGTTTTGGGTCCTGACGTGGGGCTTGAGCTCGCCAAAATTGATAATTCCCTTCATGGCTGTTCATAGGACATTGTTGTGTTTAGCAGTTACAAAACATTATTCTTCACAGAAGCACTTTGAGACACCTTGACGACGTGATTATTTGTCAAATGCAAGGATTATTATTATTTATCATTATAATTAAACGTACAGGAATTTCATGAACAGGTATGACTATTATAATTCTTCCTTGTTCGTTCAACAGTGCCTTTGGGAAATCCATACCTTGAACAGTCAGCTGAACTTTCTTTACTCTGTTGCATACAGAGTCTTTTTCTGGATCCTTAACATTTCTCTCTCCCCCACCCCAAAAAAACATTGTCAGAAGGTGTGACTCACTAGGAAATTCCTCTAGTCTGGGAGACTGAGAATCACTCTTTCTTTGGTTTATAGCCACACCATAGTCTCTTCCCACAGTATTTGTAACGTAGTGAGCTATTGTGCGCTGTTGTAACAAATTGTAATCTTATCTGACATTCAGTCTTTGGGAAGCACTTTGAAACGTTCTCCCTATGTGAAAGGTGTTGTATCCACAGATCATTTATATAAATGTAAATTGTTTTTAGAGCATGCTGGCTCATTAAACATGCAGTGATCATTATGGTGCTTATGGGAACCCTTAACAACATTTTTGAATTAAATATCATTGAATAGTATATAGTATTAGTCAGATTTCCTACAAAGGCCTACAGTGTCAATTCCTATGATATAATTGCTTCCTTTTATGTACAGCTTGCTTCCAGAAACTCTGGTGGGTCCCAAATGCTACATCCACCTGCTGGGATTTTATCGGCAGTTGCTTGCAGATGTGCTTCTTAAAGACAGAATCAATTTGCAAAATGCTGGTAAGAACATCAAGAGAAACCTACATCCAGAGTTCAATCTCACTGAATTTACTTAATTTTTACAACAACTTATGCTTATAATAGTGCCTTTTACGTAGCATACGTCCTCTTATTTACAGCCTGAAAGACTCACTTTTTAATTTTGACTCACCTGAAAGAAAGATTTTATTTTAAGTTTAAATGAGGTAAAACATGAATGAATTCACACAGGCGGAGACAAAACGCAACAAGTGTTGCTAAGATCTGGTGTTAGATGCTTAACATAGAGGCTGTCACATGCTGTACTTAAACCATGTGTAATGCAGGCTAATTGGCAGCTGCATTAAGTAAAATTCTGAGGCGTGTGCGCTACCACTGTCCGAGTCTGATACACACAAGAGTACGACAATTGTCCTTACTGACACACGAGATGTAGTTGGTCTTCCATGTGGAGTCTCACCGGAACACTGCACAGCTTATTCTATGTCGTAATCTACTAGTCAAATAAAAAGTTCATCATGACGCAATTGGTTATTGTCATTACAGATCTTATCTCTAATCCAGTGCTGGCAACATTTTCGGATCTCCTGGAACAACCAGATATTGTAGATGGTCTGAGGGTAAGCCTTTTGTTGCTCATTACTGACACATTCCCTAGCTTGTTCTCCATACAACACTATATAGCCATCTTCCCAATATGACAGGGGCTATATATACCAAGTATAAGGATTATTATTGCTCTGCAGTTTGACAATTCATTAATATTCTAATTCTGTTTTTCATAAAACGTAGAGAATACTTTTTTTTAGTAATTGATTGGGAATAAAGGGGAAAAATTACAATTTGGAATAAATAATCACTTATCTTGAATAACATCATGCAAACAGTATGACTTCTCATGGATTTCCAAAAAACAGCTCCTGTTATCCCTGCAGGCCAAAGCTCTAATGGGTAGGAGGTTCTAGCTGGACAAGCAGTGGGAAAGCTTGCCAGTCAGTGTCTCAATGGCCAGCTATGTGATTTTAGCTGGTTAGACTCCAGCAGTATCGCAACACACACTTGAGAGTCCCCAAGCCTTGGCTCTTGCCAACCTGCACCAATACTCTGGAACTCAGTAAGCAGGGTGTGTCCCTCGAGGGAGAGAGTGAGCATTCCACTCCAATAAACATCTCTGAAATTTCCATTTGTAGATGGGATGCATGGAATTCTTATTTTTATTTAACTACTCTTAAGCATGATGCTGAGTTTCCACATGTGTCAAACACTTGGCTGACCAAAAAAAATAATGTTTCTTTTTTAAATCGACAGAGCATGTGGTTTGAAAGGGAAAGACTTTTAAAACGTTCAGAAAAGGTACCGTATCATGTTTTATGTGCATACATATTGAGCTTGACAAACTTCTTGGTGCTGCTTGTAAATAAATTGTATGAAAACGCGTTGTTTAAAAAGTCCTTTACTGGAACTTGTGTCATTCAAGTTCTCAAATCTCAGCCATGCCACTGTGAAAAGGTAACAATACTGCTCTTTGTAAAGGGAAAGGATATCAGTGGAGGCTCCTGTTGCGTGTCTCATCGATTAGCCAAGTAAGCTGCTCTTACCTCTCTGAGTGGAACTCAGTAGCTGGCTTTTATGAGTAATGGAGAGTGTCCCTGGGTGGCTCACCTGTCAGTTGTTGCTTTAAGTTATATTTTTTTGTTCCCTGGATGGATGCATCTAACATCCCTTCCTTGTGACCGAAACTTACGTCAAAAGTTGAAAATATAATATTCAGTGAGTGTGGCAAAGCTTCTGTTACAATGTGGTGGTGGGTGGGAATAAATAGAAGGGAAAGGATTGAGTGCTGTCTCCCTGTGCTCAGGACTGTCTTTAAAACTGCCTGCAGTTTGTAAATGAAGGTGAAATTACTCCCCATTTGGATTGTTTTGGCTGTTTTATTCCCAACTACAAACACAGAGTGCAATCGTGTTAAGTATCAAATTACATTAAAGCCGCCAAAACACAAGCCTTCTTTTAAAGTCACAATGAATTTGTTTTTTGCCTGTCACATAAAGTACACCTTAGCTGCAGATGCACAAGCTGCTGTTGCAGTCTGGAAAGCATTGGTTAAAGGTGATGATGCTGTTCAGCGCTCTAAGATACTCCTTGAAGTGAAGGGGACTATATAAATGCAAGTTGTTGTATTTAATTCTTAGTCATCTGGAATCTTTATAATGGTATGTGGTATTGTGAATTTGGGACTAAAATATCAGCTAATCAGCTGAAATTAGCATGTAAATATTCAAAACCAAACATTCGAAGATTGATTGCAATGGGGTTTTACTTTCTCAGCACAAGTCATAGTAACAGAAATCTCTGCTGTTATTTATAACTTGGATTCTTATCTACCTGTAATCTAGATTCCTCATGCATTACATACTAGCTAAAACCAACCAAGCAAGGTGCCAGATTCTCAATCTGGTGATAATCGAGTTTCTCTCAGCCACCTCAGGACTTGGAGATCTGGAATGCTAAATAGAATGCCTGCATCTGGGGGACCAAACCCACCTTCACATATTTCCCTGAATAGTTAACATTTTCTGATTCGTGCACTCCTTCCTGTCTGCAGTCATTCGCTTGCTTAAGCTTTGGAGGTGGAGAAAGGGGTGCTCGTGTGAGCCAAACACTCAATATGGGCTTGAGTTTGTGCTATGTGGGTGCTATTTTGATCTCATCTATTCTGCTCTAGGAAGAAATCTCTTTGTAGTTTATCTGTGACATGTCTGGCCATGGAACAGATAATATTTCCCAGATATTTCATATAGGTGATCATTCGTTCAGATAGTCATCTTGCCATACTCTCCTTTCAGTGGTATCTAAAGGTAATGGTGCAAATGGTTCAAACTTTACCCATTTAACTTTTGTGCACAAATGCAGGGAAATGTATCTGCCACCTCCCAACCAAATGTTAATTGAGAGTAACAAACAAAAGTTATTGGCAAGGTAGCTAACTAATGGAAAGTTACCTAAGGCAGTGTTCAGGTTTTTATGAACAATGGGAGCTAGACAGTATGGAAATGATTAAATACAATTCTTTAAGTGATTTAAGTGTTTGGAAAAAGGGTTTGGTGCTTGTAAAATAAGACAACATACAGTGCTCCCATGAATCTTAAAGCAAATTGCAGAGAGCAGGAATTCTTCCCACTCAGCTCCTATTCACCCTGCAAAAGCCTAACAGGTAGGGTAGTTCTAGCTAAACAAGCAATGGGAAGCTTTGCAGATGTTTTTTTTCAATAACATTGGCTATGTGGTTTCAGTGGTTAGACTCCAGTTGTACCCCAGTACGCATTCTGGGGTCCCCAAGCCTTGGCTGTTGCCAACCTATGCCTAATATTCTCCAGAATTAGGTAAACAGGATGAGTCCTGCCAGGGTGAGAGTGCACATTCCATTCGAGAGCGGGGAAATTTCGATGTGTAGGTGGCAAAGATATGTGGAACTCTTAAATTGGTTTGGATACTCTTAACCATGATGATGGCTTTGTTATGAGGTAGACACTCGGCTGGCTAAAAACATATTTTAATAGTAGATTGAGAATGAAATTATTGAAGATTTAAAATATCATCGGTGTGGTGGACAAGTTGATATTGCTCTCGATCCTATTATAGCACAGTGGTATAACAGGGTAAAAATAATCTCCACAATCTGGATCAAATGAGATTCTGTGTTACAACAGGCTGATGCCTTGTGTGTCATAGTGGCTGGTGTGTGTTGCAGTGCCCTCGCAGTTAGCACTTGCAAGTTGTGATATTCTATTGAGCACAGAAAGCTGTCTCACTCGGTTGCTGTGATGTTGTTGGGAAGCCAGCAGTATCTGCATGCTATGCACAGGAAGTCAGTAAGTCAATGGCAGAAGTCAGAGGTGCAGTGATGTATGGCAGCGCTTCCAGGAAACTGGGTTCATGAAGTGCCTGTGGTGTATGGCAGTGGGGTCTGATTGAATAGAGTAAGAAGCGGAGTGTTTGTTCTCTTGCCTTCCTGCTTAGCGATGCATTATTGTCTATAAAGATACGTTATTCTATGGCATAAGTGAAATAATAATGTAATACAATTTATATTATATAATTGATAATATAGGAAAGGCTTACATAAGAGCAACCTGTTGGAGTGGTAAATAGGATCTTTCAAACTGCCTAAAGTTTCTGGACACAGTACCCAGGGTTGGTTGTGGGTACTCCTTCCCACTTTTAAAGTAGGTATCATAATGAAAATCTTCAAGGTTGAACATACAGTAATATCAAATAGAGCCAATTGTTGAGAGCTAACAGAGCGATTTGCTGCTGGGGGAATCAAACATAATGATTGAAATGTGAGGAGAGCAAGTTGTTCTGAAGAGGAATTTAGGAAAATGCTGAAATCCAGCATGCACTTAATGGAATAACCTGCAGCTGTAAATGACAGCAAATACTTATTAGCAATTATTAGATACTTGATCCTTAATTACTTTATATTTTATTTTTGTTTCAGAGAGATAAAGAGTTTATGAAACAAGAATTTGTCAATGTGTACTATAACAGCGCATATCCCCTCCTTTATTCCGTGACTCTACCAGACAACAAGTGGGCCAATGATCATGTGGAAATCAGCCGGTGGAAGTATATTGCCGAATTCCTACAGAAAACCCGAGAGAAAGGCAGCTCTCTATATTCTCTACTCTCACCCGAGAATATTCATCAAGCTTTTGATATATCAGAAACAACCTATGATTTATTGGGAACACGCAGGAAAATGACTATCAATGACTGAGGCATCATTTTCGTTTTGCCCAAAAAAATGTTTGGCAAAACTTGGGAGAAATGGGCAACAGCTGAGCACTGTGTTTCATCTTTCTGGGATCATCTTGCGTAGTATTTGCAAACAAATGGAATGAGATTGGTCAACAAATCTTGTGGAGATGGTTCCTCTATTAACAGTTCGAGTTGCATTTTTTTTAAACATGCCAAATACTGTTTACTTTTTCTGAACTAGTAATCATAAAATTCACTACAGTTACCGTTTACTGCAATCTTTATCAATTTTTTAGTGTTTACTGATAAATATTTATTAAATTCACTGCAATTAGTTACAGTCAATCCTCTAAGTTTTAAATTTAGTCCGTTCAGTGTTTAGTGTAATTTTCATGTACCAGTTTTCTCTTGTGTATACTGCTGCATATTTTTTGTTAGTAAAGTTAATTTAAATTTTAAACTTTGTCTGTTTTCTGTCATCGGCATCTACCATTTTTGAAAATAATAATAATAATCCTTGCATGTGATATAGCGCTTTTCATGTCTTCTAGACGCCTCAAAGCGCTTCATAGAATCTGCTGTAAAGTGAATTGACTATATTTGTGGGTGAAACGAGGCAGCCAATTGCGCACAGCAGTGTCTCACAAACAGTCGTGGATTGAAAATGACCAATTTATTGTTTTCTTTTGGAGGGATTACTATTAGGCGTGTGGAGTAAGGGAACTTGCTCAAGGTTTCGCCCTGCCTGGAATTGACTCCAGGTGTCTCACTTGCAAAGCTACACTGAGCTACAGGACTCCACCCATTAAGTAATAAATATAGATTCTGTATTTTTTAAGTGAAAGGTGACCTTTCCATGTTATGGGCTGTTGATAGGGTTATTTTTTTTNAAATCCACAAAATTAAAAACCCCAAGTATTTTCTGGAGTCTATTTTTAGGGGCAAAAATTAGGATAAAGTCAGTGGAGGGAGGAATTGATGCAAATAGCCCCAAGTAAGTTCAGTGAAAATTGGTGAAAGATTAACCTCTGATTTACATTTTCAGCCCTATTTAAAGGGAAGCAGAGCTTTCGCAGCAAAAACTCCAACCAGCTCCTTCACTCTCAGATCATGAGCAACACATGTAAGGGATGGTAACAAACTTAGTAACATTAATGCGTTCAGATGGTCACAGAGTCAGTTAGCTGAATTGTGATGCAACCTCGCCTTTTCTCATTCCATGTATTCTTTGTGCATTGGGATCAATATAATTTAACCATTGCAGACTAAAAGTAACATAAACATAAAATCCCAATAGCTGTATAATTTTGTTGTGGCTGGTAAATCATGTGCTCACGAGTTACAGCCAAAACCTCAGCTTAATTAATACTGAAGCACTTCATGGAGAAGCATAGTAAACCTCTTCACCTGAGTAATAATAATAATCCTTGCATTTGATATAGCGTTTTTCACATCTTCTCGATGTCTCAAAGCGCTTCACAAAAATAGACTGTAAAGTGAATTGACCGTATATTTGAGTATACACCAATTGATCATGTAGTGGGTAAGGGAACACTAGGTGCATTAGTAAACCTTATGGAATCAGGTTCAATTACTGATCTGTACCAAGTTAGCTCACCTTATCCAGGGCAACAGTTGAGATGTTGCAATTCCTTTGTAGCCCTGGGCTGGGGAGGGACAGAAAAATTATGATTCGTGCATATAATCATCATTCAGTGCTCACTCCCCTCAGTGGAATGTAATGGGAAAATTGTGGAGTCCTGTAGCTCAATGGTTAGAGGACTCGCCTTGCAAGCGAGACACCTGGGTTCAATTCCAGACAGGGCGAAACCTTGGGCAAGTTTCCTTACTCCACACACCTAATAATAATCCCTCCAAAAACAAAACAATAATAAATTGGTCATTTTCAATCCACGGCTGTTTGTGGGACACTGCTGTGCGCAATTGGCTGCCGCGCTTCGCCCACAAATATACAGTCAATTCACTTTACAGCATATTCTGTGAAGCGCTTTGAGACGTCTAGAAGATGTGAAAAGCACTATATCAAATGTAAGAATTATTATTATAATGAGAAAATAGGATGGAGCTCGTCTGTGCAGCCCTCCAAAATCCTATTAGAAATCAAATGCAAGAATTATTATTAATCACACATATTGGCCACTTGGGGTGTGATACTGTTGTATAGCGAGTGGGACTGTAGCTCAGAAAGAGTGTGTGTCTTCAAAAGAGGGAGGAAGGATAGGGAATTTTTAAAAAAAAACGGTTTTGAGCAGGTCATTGGAAAGACAAAGGGGGTTGAAAAGAGATCTGAGTGTGAGTTTGTGTGTGTGGCATTTAGTATGATAGAGAGTCTGGAGAAGATCAAATGCGAGGAGAATTTGAAACATAAATGAATTTGGTACAAAGATTTGGATAGAATATATTGGCCACCCTCTCCCCCTGCCTCTGATGATCTTGCAGGAACAATATACCAGAATTATGCTAACAATGTCATCAAGTATTTTAAGAGATTGGACAGATATTATCATTCATGCTGCAGGGATCAGGAAAGAGTGTTGCTCTCCCTGGTGAAAGGTATCTTTCACGCATTATAGAAGAGAGAGTTTCACTCTCACCTCTCATCCGTGGGTCAGAATATATATCCCACACATTGTAAGACATTCCACATTCCAACAGGACTCTATAAACATTCTTGTAACCTCCCTCTGGGAAAGGTGGGCATGAAAGAGACACATTGCACATGACTGTTATATGCATACCTACATAAGTATTTAAATTCCTAGCTGTGTGGACCTTGCCCCTGTGTTTTCAGTGTTGCATTAATGATAATGCAAAGCAGCAGGGGAGATTAGGATCATTTTATCTGAAACTCCCTTTTTATCAGGTGAGACTAAACAGGTCTGTATTCAGGTGGACATTAAAAATCCCATGACGTTATTTGTAAAGGGAGGGAGTTTCCCCCAAAGTCCTGGGCACAATTCCTCTGGATTAAATGATTATCCAAACATGATTGTTTGTGGGACCTTTATATGTGTCTACAAAACCACTTGACAGCAATCACCTGTGACAACAACAACAACAACAACAAGATTCCATTTATTGAGTGCCTTTCATGTCGGGAGGACGTCCCAAGGCGCTGGACAGTTGGGTCAGGACCCGAGCAGGGGGAAATGGTCAGGGTGAGGGGAGGGAAAGGAGGGAGCGAGGAGGGGGTAGAGAGTCGAGAGGCGAGCTGAAGGCACGGTCAAAGAGAAAGGTCTTGAGACCGGCCTTGAAGGAGGAAAGGGAGGAGACGGCGAAGGCACTGGGGGTTAGAGTTCCAGAGCCTGGGGGCTGAGAGGCTGAAGGCCCGGCCACCGATAGTAGGGTGGTTGGGGCGGGGGATGTGGAGCAGACCGGAGCCAGAGGAACGGAGGGTACGGGCAGGTAGGTAGGGGGATAGTAGGTCGGAGAGGTAGGAGGGAGCAAGGCCGTGAATGGCCTTGTAGGTGAGGGTGAGGATCTTGAATTCGCTTTGACACGCTTTGAGATGCTTCAATGTGATAAGGCACTGTAACGAAGGTCTTTAGTTCTTTCTATATCAATGTAGGAGCTGGGGGGAAGACCACATTTATTTTATCTGCACTGCTATCCATTGCATTATTTAAAATTGCAGCCCAGAAGGGAGATAACATTGTATTTTATCTGCTAGCAGTACTTTTTTGGACGTTGTTCAAGAATTGTTTTTAAAATGGAATTTAAGATCAAACAATTGTAACTACATAGCAGCACACCGTGACCTGAAAGTGACAAGATTAATTTAACTTTTCATTTACTCTTGATCTATTTACTGCATTGTTCGGATCACCTGCTGAGCAGTGCGATCACTGAGTCTTTATCCTGGAGGAAGATACTGTTCATATCTTACCATCAGTTCTTTCAGTTGCAGGTTAGGCTGTGCAGAAATGGTAACCTAGTGACACAGTTTACATACTGGAATGGTTTACCTTTAAAACCCGCAATTGCTGAAGCTGATTCCAGACTTTATTGCTCTGCTCTTTCATTTCTCAACCATGTGACATAAATAAAATTGGTCATTCACTTCAAGGCTGTTTGTGGGACATTGCCTTGTGCAAATGTGCTGCCGTGTTCACCTACAAATATCCCAGTCACTATACTTAACAGTAAAATCCCGTGAAGCACTTTGAGACGCCATCCTGATGTGAAAGGTGATTTACCAAATGCAAAGATTATTTATTTATAATGGGGGGGAGAGTATCTCCATTACTCAAACAACATAAGCAAAGTCTGAAACTCGGGTGACTTTGTTCCCAGCTTTTTTGGTGATTCCAGCCAGTGGTGATCCCCAGATGATCCGAATGGCATTTTGTATATGAAACTCATCATAATACGTCTGATGGGGTCAAGTTGGGGATAGAGAACATTGCCGGCTCTGCTCAATCTAACTCAATGACTATTCAGTCTCACGTTGGATCTGCTGTATGCAGAGGCCAGTGTGGCAATGTGGCAGGCTGTGGTGTGTAGTATCTACAGAGTATACAGTAGCACCTCCCAGCCCTCTGACCTCCACCATCCAGGGAGCATCATGCAGGGGGTACCACCACCTCCAAGTTCCTCTCTACGTCACTCATCCTGCTTGGGCATACATCACCATTCCTTCATGGTCACTGTGTGAAATCCTGGTACTCTACCCAACCCCATTGTGGGAGCACCATTGGGAGTCCTCTGAACTCCTCTCCCTCTGGCCTTCAACCCTCACTGACCCCTCTTCTGCTCTCACCCTCCTCCACAACACCAACTACTCCACACTCGACACTCTTGCCCCTATCACCTCCCGTATTGTCTCTTACTCTCGCTCCGCCTCCTGGTTCACCACCCACCTCCGCTCACTGAAGAGCCAGGTGCGGGCTGCTGAACGCACCTGCCTCAAATCTGGCCTAACGGTCCACCGGCAAATCTGGCTGGACCTCCTCAAAATCTACGGCTCCACTCTAGCCTCGGCCAAGTCGTCCTTCTACTCCAGGATAATCCTGGAGGCGAAAAACAACCCCAGGCTTCTGTTTTCTACCACATCCCGACTCCTCCGTCACCCCCGCCACCCCGCGCAGGTCATCTCCTCCAACCATCACTGCGAGGAGATGCTGGATTTCCTTGAATCCAAAATCAAGGGAAACCACTCCGCGGTCACTCTCTCTCCAACATCCACCCACCCCCCACCCCTTCCCTCCCACACTCCAACTCCTACCCATCCTCCCCTACACACCTTCGAACCCGTTTCCCCACCCTCTGTTACCAAACTCATCCTGGCCCTGAAACCCACCACCTGCTCCCTTGACCACATCTCCACTCCACTCCTTATCTCCCAGCTCCACCTCCTTGCCCCACATATCACAGACATCATCAACCTGTCCCTCTCCTCTGGCTTTGTTCCCATTCCCCTAAAAACTGCCATCATCACTC